ATCTCTTCACGCGTCCATTCCGTACGTTTCGACATATTTCAGACTCCAAGTGTTGTGAAAAAAATAATAAGCCTGTTAATAAAAAGCTGACAGTTCTCGCAGAAACAGAGCACTCTCAAACAGAAATCTGGAAGACTTGACAGGAAATCACTCGCACAGTTCTATCGACAGCTGGGTTCGGATGCCTGACATTTAATGGTGACCCCCTTCCACTTGAGAGAAATCGCTCTCAACAGTTCTATCGAGAGTTGGTTGCGACTGTCCCAACAGTTGCTCGCAAAATACCTTCCACTTGCAAGTTACTCTCGGAGAGCGAACTCGTGCTATAAAACTCTCAAGTGGACGTCCGGCTTAAGTTTCTAACTTACATAAACATTGTAAGAACAACCATATTAATAGGCTATAAGCCCTGCTTTTCTTAGACTTCGTTTACAAAATAATAATACAAGTAAAAGTTGAAATCCTAGTGTAAAGTAGATAAAACAATTTTATTCACCGCAATCCAAAATTTTGGTACGTGGTCTCTCCGCAATCACACCACCTCGACAGATAGGTGAACTCGGACACACCGAACTCTGTCAAAAGAGTCACGTGATGAATGGTAAAATGAAAATGGAGAATCCAGAGAATCCGGAATGCATAATCGAATGGGCCCTTAGTGACCTGCAAATATATAAATAAACAAATATTGACAACATGCCACATTGGTCCGCTTTATTAGTCATAATGGTATTTTTTTTTCCCGGGTCTATTGTTCAATGACAACCTGATTTATCACTTGCTGTACACAGACAATTGACAGAAATAATAAATATACATGTAAAACTTTCATAATTTCTGTATTCATAAATTAAATCAGTTCCCAGTCAGCCTCAAAGATTTTACTGTGGTAGATTAGATATTACTTGGATTTTAAATTAGCTTGATATCCTGGTTTAGATATATTATGTATGATATACACGTCTAATGTAAACAGTTTATAGAGACCAAGATATTAGTAAAAAATTAATTAAAATTGAGGCCTTGACCGAAACATCTGCCTCCATTTCAGCCTCTGATAGCTATTTTAAAAGTTGTAGGCAGCCGATAACTGTTAAAACATCTACATCTATCAGATGCTGGAATATAGTCAGATTTTTCGGCCGAGCAGAAACGCAAATCTAGAATAAGTGCCGAAGTTTGTGATCAAGTACAATGTATATATATTATTTCTTCTTTTATTTTTTATTTTAGGTAGGACCTCTAGATGGATGGATCACCAAAAGAAACGGTTTTAAGAACTATGTTACTAAGCTAAAATATTCTTAAATGAATTTCCAGATCTTGTGGTACAAGAAGTCATGTTTATTTATTTTTTATCGATTCTTTTATAGAAAAATTCCATGTGTGTAGGCCACTTTAAAAGATAATTTCTTATATAGCCGACTTTCAAATTTTTTAACTTTTGGTGTATATTTGTAAATAAATGAAGTATAATTGACAACAATGACAGATGTATTGTTGTTTATTCTTATAAAATGCTGGAATAACATCTAAAACAGATGACTCCATCTTGTATCAGCAGGTAAGATTTTATTAGTTAAATTCTCTTGGCAGGAGAGCATATTAATAGTCTTCACAAACTTACTTAGTATGACATGAATAAGTTAATAATATCATAAGCAGGTAGGTCGTGTGTTTTTGAAACTGGAATCAGTGATAATAAAAAATTGTCAAAAGCATAACTATTTTCATATTAATCAAAATTGTATCAACATATTGTTGAGAATTCCAATCATTGATATATCGACTTAGTAGGCTACCTTAGTGAAATAATTTGCCGGACAAAAGTACCAAACTTTCAGATAATATAGGCAATGACTTGGCAAAGATTTTTAAGATGGCTGCCACAATGAAATATGTAAGTGACCATAAGTCATCATTAAGGTCATCAAAATAAATGTTTTTGGTGGTAAATATTTCACCTGTAGTGTTTATAACATTGTCGTACAATTTTTCGCTTCCATCTGTGATATTCAAAGTGGTCACAAAAGCCTTTTTAGTTATCCAAGTCACCATATCTAAGGTTATATATGACTTAGCATCATCATTAGGTCATCAAAATATATGGTTGTGGTGGCACTGATTACTCCTGTGATCTGTATTATATTGTCAGATAATTTTTGGCAGCTAATTTTTGGCAGCTATCTTACAACCCCTGAGTTATGTACGAGTGTCTGTTTCTTAACAGACTCCTTCTATAGGTTTAAAGCTTAGATCACATATGAATGTTGGACCTTAACTTGTCCTGAGTTTAAATGTGTAAATAATATAGTGTAAGCTTTTAGTTCGAACAGTAACTCTCATTTAATTTAAACAGTTACATTTTTAGTTGGTACTTGCGTTACAGCATGCTTATAACATAAAAGAACGTTAAAATCAACTGTGTTCAAATATTAATTTATTTACAGAATGGAAGTCAATTATGTATTAACCATCCTGTTGGTTGTTTACAGTGGATGTTTGTAAGTTACATTTTATAGTTGTTCCTTTATAAATACCCTTAAAACATTGTTATTTCGGTATGAATTTCGTATGCATCCACCTCAATACATTTCTTGAAAGTCACTATCTCACAGAATTGTGGGAAATAAAGGCAAAACCTTTTTACATTGGAGTTATGTTCTCTTGACAAAAATCATTCCTATAGAAAAATATATTTCAGAATTTTGAAAATAAAATTTGACATAATCTTACAACAACCTAATCAGCAGTTTTTTCCTTTCATCTCAATTGTCGTAGATTTCACATCTGTGGTACATGGGAAATCTCTCACCAAAGTACCCTTAGAAGTCTTGGTTTAATTAGAAGATCATTGGTTGTTTTCTTTCTTCTTATATTCAATTTTTACAATGAGAAAATTGTTCAGACCTTAATAATTATACGCCCACATGGAAATGTGGTGGTATATTGCCGTTGCCCCTGTCCGTCGGTCCGTTGGTCATTCGATCCGTCAACATTTTCTTGTGAACACCATAGAGACTAAAATTTTTATCTGATTTTAATGAAACTTGTTGTGATAATGTATATTGATGAGATCTTGGTCAAGTTCGAATTTGAAGATTTTTTGATGAACTCTTTTTGAGTTATTGCCCTTGATACAATAGGGACTACAGTTTTCAAATGATTTTAATGAAATTTGGTGTGATCATTTATATTGATGAGATCCCGGTCAAGTTCGAATTTGAAGATTTTTTGATGAACTGTTTTGAGTTATAGCCCTTGACTAAGGAAAAACGCGTCAAAATTTGTTTGTGAACACAATATATTAGAGACTACAGTTTTCAAATGATTTTAATGAAATTTGGTGTGATCATTTATATTGATGAGATCCCGGTCAAGTTTGAATTTGAAGATTTTTTGATGAACTGTTTTTGAGTTATGGCCCTTGACTTAGGAAAAACGCGTCAAAATTTGTTTGTGAACACAATATATTAGAGACTACAGTTTTCAAATGATTTTAATGAAATTTGGTGTGATCATTTATATTGATGAGATCCCGGTCAAGTTTGAATTTGAAGATTTTTTGATGAACTGTTTTTGAGTTATAGCCCTTGACTAATGAAAAACGCGTCAAAATTTGTTTGTGAACACAATATATTAGAGACTACAGTTTTCAAATGATTTTAATGAAATTTGGTGTGATCATTTATATTGATGAGATCCCGGTCAAGTTCCAATTTGAAGATTTTTTTATAACTGTTTTTGAGTTATAGCCCTTGACTTAGGAAAAACGCGTCAAAATTTGTTTGTGGACACAATATATTAGAGACTACAGTTTTCAACTGATTTTAATGAAATTTGGTGTGATCAATTATATTGATGAAATCCTGGTCAAGTTCGAATTTGAAGATTTTTTGATGAACTGTTTTTGAGTTATTGCCCTTGAAGACAATCGAGACTATAGTTTTCAAATGATTTTAATGACATTTGGTGTGATCATTTATATTGATGAGATCCCGGTCAAGTTCGAATTTGACGATCTTTCGATAAACGGTTTTTGATTTATTGCCCTTGTTCTGAATTTTATCAGAGACGAAGTGAAGGGTGCCTAGTTCCTAGGATTGTACTACCCCAATATACTACAAGCTTCCAATCTTCAATATTTATTTTCAAATATGGATTTTCGTATTGCAGAAATTAGTAATATGGTAGTTTAGTAGTCAACTGAAAATATAAATGAAAATCTTTGATAACAATTGAGTTTAGGCTTAGGCCTAGGTTTACGTGGTCTACAAAGCAAATTAATTAAATTTACATAAAATGCATACATAATAGACTAGAATATTAGCAAATCTACTCACTCTTTGAATGGGCTAATAATTGGCTTGGTCGCCTTATTCTAAAGGTTTATCGGAATCATGCACGTTTGTTCACGCACACCATTGCAACTTTTTCGGAATTCCCAAGTCACATGTTTTAGAATGAAATGAAATGAATGGGGTTGTTTATGTCTTTTTATTTATATCGATGAGATCTTGGTTAAGTTTGAATTTTCAACGATTTCACTCTTAACAATTTTTTTCACTTGATATTAGAGCTGTGTGATTTAATAATTTGATGTATGTGGATTATTGATATTGATTTTAAAATATTTTGTGGAATTGCATAAATAACTGACAGTCAATATATATATCATTGAATTCAAACTAATAAAATTTCTTTAATACGAGAAAGTTCGTACTATAGTCATTTCGTACTTTTACTTTTTATCATTTCTTACAGCTGCCAGTGGGCGTATGTTATCTTGCCTGACAAGCTATCTTTTTTCTCTGTAGGAGAAGCAAAGGTGTCATTTCGATGCTATTCGGATTACTGGAAGTGTAGTTTATTATGCCTTCGTTGTATCCCTTTCTAGTCATTGTATTATTTACATCGTATAAAATTCGACTGCTCATTGATGAGTAGGCCCTATACTTGGAAATTGCTTTTCTTTACTAATTAAAAAAACCTGATCCAAAATGCGTCTTTTTAGGTGTCAAGATGCCAGATATATGGTCCTGACTCCAAAGTCGATCCAATCATGTGCTCCGTATTCATTTAGTGCCCGAGCCTTTGGCAACCATTCCTACACATTGAAGACGGAACTTCAACGTTCCTATAGTGGGAATACAATTTCTTCAATTACCACTGAAATATGTAAGTATTTGGTATTAGTGTATTAGTATTAGTGTATAAGTGTATTACTCTCTAAAGGGCTAGCACAAATATATTTATTTCAAACTCAAGACTCTAGATTTTTTCTCATTCTATACCACCATCCTATACCACTACCATTCTGTACAATCATCATTCTATGCCACCACCATTCTATACAACCATCATTCTGTACCACCATCATTCTATACCACCATTCTACACCACTACCATTCTGTACAATCATCATTCTATGTCACCACCATTCTATACAACCATCATTCTGTACCACCATCATTCTATACCACCATTCTACACCACTACCATTCTGTACAATCATCATTCTATGCCACCACCATTCTA